ATTTGGAGACGGCTAGAACAGCCAATGGCTGTTCCTGCCTGAGGTTGCAAGGAAAGCATTTGCAAATGTCCATTTCATCTCTACATCTTTTTGAGCTCATGCCTTGAGCTGTCACTCTTCTGAGGTAATAAGGAACAGATCCACCACATTATATAGCTAATATCGTTGGCGTGCCAATAAAAGTTTAAAGGTTAAACATGTGTTTGCGTTGTTCTCAAACTCACATAATCTTTTCTACCTTAAGGATACATTCCGATTATGCAATCTATAAAAATTCAATATCCTGTAGCCTACTTTTTTTTCCACCCGACTTGGAGGTTTTTTTCCACACTAATAAAGAACCTGAGTGCAAAAGCCATCCTTTCAGATCCAATGCACTAACCATAGAAGTATCTGTCCTCTGTTTCTTTAATTCATCATGAAGCACTTCTTATATGCTGGAAATGAGGTGAGATTAGTACAGAGATGGCATTTATAAAATATTTTTTTTGCGATGTCTTTTACATGGCAGTTTGGCACAAAGTCAACCCCACTGAGAGTGATGATTTGTAAACGGCATACCAGTTGTTTGTGTATAGGGTTGCAGAGTGCACACCCTTCACAAACATTTATCTGTTTCCTGTTTGGATAACTGTGTCATCCTATTCGCATTTTGACAGCTGGACCCTCAAAGAAGTCTTTGAGTTCAGCCAAAAATGCTCCAAATCTCCATAAACACTCATGAGCGCAATCTGAAAGATGAAACGGTGTTCAAACAAAACCACAAAAATCGGAGAGATGGAGAAACACGTCAGCGAACACACAACCCCAGAGGTCACCCTGGTCATGGTGGGATTGAATTCTTCTTGAGTAAAGGCAGCCAAACGAATCCATCATTCCCGAGGAACACTGTCTGGAAACAAATTCCAGTGATGCGGATTAACAAAAGAAAATGATTTGGGTTTCTTCTCTAAACTGTGTTTGACCCATACTGGGAATCTGCTGGCAAAAATAATGTTTATTATCGTTACGATCCTCTATTGCTCCTTTTTATTGATAGTGCAAATATTGACACACAGGAGGATCAGTTCACTACTGTGCTGACCTTAAGCCAAGAATGCCCCATCTCTCTCTACCGCTTTTTATTTGTACCAGAGAGGGAAATAAGGCCGTCTATTAACCTTCCGGAGCAACGCGACACGATTGAGACTGTGAGTGATAAGGAATTGAGGGGTGAAGAATGTGAACACTCATTAAACTGTGTAATCTAATTGTCACAATCAGTTTGGCTGCAACTGACATCTCTGTACAAATCTGAAAACACAACACATGATCGAGCTCCAGGCCAAGCGCTTGTGCTGCGTTCCAGCTTTGTTTCGCTCTGATGTTCAACACTTTCCGCTGAGAGGAAAGAAGCCAGTTGCTTAAATCTAATTGCAAGTTAAACATCCGAGGGTGTTGCTGTTTTGTCTGGCTTGACAGTGTGTGGTGTAGATGTAGTGTAGTGTAGTGTGGTGTAGTGTAGGTGTAGTGTAGTGTGGTGTAGATGTAGTGTAGTGTGGTGTGGTGTAGGTGTAGTGTAGTGTGGTGTAGATGTAGTGTAGTGTAGTGTGGTGTAGGTGTAGTGTAGGTGTAGTGTAGTGTGGTGTAGATGTAGTGTAGGTGTAGTGTAGGTGTAGTGTGGTGTGGTGTAGTGTAGGTGTAGTGTAGTGTAGTGTAGTGTAGGTGTAGTGTAGGTGTAGTGTAGTGTAGTGTGGTGTAGTGTAGGTGTAGTGTAGTGTGGTGTAGATGTAGGTGTAGTGTAGTGTAGTGTAGTGTGGTGTAGTGTAGGTGTAGTGTAGTGTGGTGTAGATGTGGTGTAGTGTAGGTGTAGTGTAGTGTAGGTGTAGTGTAGGTGTAGTGTAGTGTAGTGTGGTGTAGTGTAGGTGTAGTGTAGTGTGGTGTAGATGTAGTGTAGTGTGGTGTGGTGTAGTGTAGGTGTAGTGTAGTGTGGTGTAGATGTAGTGTAGTGTACTGTGGTGTAGGTGTAGTGTAGGTGTAGTGTAGTGTGGTGTAGATGTAGTGTAGTGTGGTGTGGTGTAGTGTAGGTGTAGTGTAGTGTAGGTGCGGTGTAGTGTAGTGTAGTGTGGTGTGGTGTAGTGTAGGTGTAGTGTAGTGTGGTGTGGTGTAGTGTGGTGTAGTGTGGTGTAGTGTAGGTGTAGTGTAGGTGTAGTGTGGTGTGGTGTAGGTGTAGTGTAGGTGTAGTGTAGTGTAGTGTAGTGTGGTGTAGTGTAGGTGTAGTGTAGTGTAGGTGTAGTGTAGGTGCGGTGTAGTGTAGTGTAGTGTGGTGTGGTGTAGTGTAGGTGTAGTGTAGTGTGGTGTAGGTGTAGTGTGGTGTGGTGTAGTGTAGGTGTAGTGTAGTGTAGGTGTAGTGTAGTGTAGTGTAGTGTAGTGTGGTGTGGTGTAGTGTAGGTGTAGTGTGGTGTAGATGTAGTGTAGTGTAGTGTAGGTGTGGTGTAGGTGTAGTGTGGTGTGGTGTAGGTGTAGTGTAGGTGTAGTGTAGTGTAGTGTAGTGTAGTGTAGTGTAGGTGTAGTGTAGGTGTAGTGTAGTGTAGTGTAGTGTGGTGTAGTGTAGGTGTAGTGTGGTGTAGATGTAGTGTAGTGTAGGTGTAGTGTAGTGTAGTGTGGTGTAGTGTAGGTGTAGTGTGGTGTAGATGTAGTGTAGTGTGGTGTAGTGTAGGTGTAGTGTAGTGTAGTGTAGGTGTAGTGTAGTGTAGTGTGGTGTAGTGTAGGTGTAGTGTGGTGTAGATGTAGGTGTAGTGTAGTGTAGTGTGGTGTAGTGTAGGTGTAGTGTGGTGTAGTGTAGGTGTAGTGTAGTGTAGTGTAGTGTAGGTGTAGTGTAGTGTAGTGTAGTGTGGTGTAGTGTAGGTGTAGTGTAGTGTAGTGTTGTATAGTGTAGTGTAGTGTAGTGTAGTGTAGTGTGGTGTAGTGTAGGTGTAGTGTAGTGTGGTGTAGATGTAGTGTAGTGTGGTGTAGTGTAGGTGTAGTGTAGGTGTAGTGTAGTGTGGTGTAGATGTAGTGTGGTGTAGTGTAGGTGTAGTGTAGGTGTAGTGTAGTGTAGGTGTAGTGTAGTGTGGTGTAGTGTAGGTGTAGTGTGGTGTAGTGTGGTGTAGATGTAGTGTAGTGTGGTGTAGTGTAGGTGTAGTGTAGTGTAGGTGTAGTGTAGTGTGGTGTAGTGTAGTGTGGTGTAGTGTAGGTGTAGTGTGGTGTAGGTGTGTAGTGTAGGTGTAGTGTAGTGTAGGTGTAGTGTGGTGTAGTGTAGTGTGGTGTAGGTGTAGTGTAGTGTAGTGTGGTGTAGTGTAGTGTAGTGTAGTGTAGTGTAAGTGTGGTGTAGGTGTAGTGTAGGTGTAGTGTACATGACATGTAGTGTAGTGTAGTGTAGGTGTTGTATAGTGTAGTGTAGTGTAGGTGTAGGTGTAGTGTAGTGTGGTGTGGTGTAGTGTAGTGTAGTGTAGGTGTAGTGTAGTGTGGTGTAGGTGTAGTGTACATGACATGTAGTGTAGTGTAGTGTAGGTGTTGTATAGTGTAGTGTAGTGTAGTGTAGTGTAGGTGTTGTATAGTGTAGTGTGGTGTAGGTGTAGTGTAGGTGTTGTATAGTGTAGTGTAGGTGTTGTGTAGTGTAGGTGTAGGTGTAGTGTAGTGTAGTGTAGTGTAGGTGTTGTATAGTGTAGGTGTAGGTGTAGTGTAGTGTAGTGTAGTGTAGGTGTTGTATAGTGTAGTGTAGTGTGGTGTAGTGTAGGTGTTGTATAGTGTAGTGTGGTGTAGGTGTAGTGTAGGTGTTGTATAGTGTAGTGTAGGTGTTGTGTAGTGTAGGTGTAGGTGTAGTGTAGTGTAGTGTAGGTGTTGTATAGTGTAGTGTAGTGTAGTGTAGTGTAGGTGTTGTATAGTGTAGTGTGGTGTAGGTGTAGTGTAGGTGTAGTGTAGTGTAGTGTAGGTGTTGTATAGTGTAGTGTAGGTGTTGTATAGTGTAGTGTAGGTGTTGTATAGTGTAGGTGTAGTGTAGTGTAGTGTAGGTGTGGTGTAGTGTGGTGTAGTGTAGTGTAGGTGTTGTATATACTGTAGTGTAGTGTAGGTGTTGTATATACTGTAGTGTAGTGTAGGTGTTGTATATACTGTAGTGTAGTGTAGGTGTTGTATAGTGTAGTGTAGGTGTTGTATAGTGTAGTGTAGGTGTTGTATAGTGTAGGTGTAGGTGTAGTGTAGTGTAGTGTAGGTGTAGTGTAGGTGTGGTGTAGTGTGGTGTAGTGTAGTGTAGTGTAGGTGTTGTATATACTGTAGTGTAGTGTAGGTGTTGTATATACTGTAGTGTAGTGTAGGTGTTGTATATACTGTAGTGAAGTGCACAAAGCTCGGTTCTTGAAATATTTCTGATAGTTGTCATCTTAGGCATATCGTGTCCCTCTGTTGTAAGACATCACATTTCGTGTGAAATTTAAAAGGTTAAAAGGTCAAACTCCTGCAAGATACAAACAAGCAGCATAATGGTTGGAAAATTGAATTTGAAAATAATACTTTTGCAGCCAACCATCACAGAATATAACCCACAGTTAGGAAGGCAGCAGGGAAAGTCAATCCATGTTCACCATAGCAATAATACTACCCGATAAACATAAGATGGGCTCAGATTAACCCTTATATCAGAACCTGAACTGTTTGATATGATATGCGGTGATTAAAACTAAAATGTTTTAACTAAAAACAACCAGAGCGTCGTGCACAAGTCCAGACCTCAGGCTCCAAAGCACCACGACTCCATTTCATTACAGTTTCTCATTCTCCTCTGTAAACACTGATCTGGTCACTTCACTTGTTTGGGAATAAACAATTTCAGTTGTCATAGACTCGTTCATATTGACTTAAGTAAGAGACGTCTTCTGAGGGGGCAATGAAATGCCAAGTTGTTGTTTTTTCTCCCCCATAGTTAGATAATGAATACAATGTGGAATCTACTGTATTATAACTCTCTGGTGTTCTTGCCTTAGGAACAAGAGGACCCCAACAAGCTTGCTACCAGTTGGCCTGATTACTACATAGACCGCATCAACTCCATGGCAGCTGTAAGTATTTACTATGTTACCTTTACATTTCTTACAGAAACATTTGCACCCTTTGTGATTAAACCTGATTTTGACGTCGGGCGAGGTGAGGAAGACTTATTGAAGAAGAAGTAGTTTTATGTATATAGAAGCACGGTCTCTTTACATTGTACATACAATACATTTAGACACCCACATATACATTACAGTCACATGGGATACATATAATCACATTATCCGAAACGCATCTTTTCACAAGATGTAAAATAAATCAATGATGTCCCCATAGTGTGTATGCAAAGTTTTAGCTCAAAATACCCCACAGATATTTTTATATAGCATGTTAAAGTTGTCACTTTTTGAGGGTGAGCCAAAACACACCGTTTTGTGTCTGCCCCTTTAAATGCAAATGAGCTCCCGACACAGTGGGCGGAGCTTCAAGAGTGCATGTGAAAAGACTGATGCTAAAGTTTGAGCTGACTCACAAATGTGCTCGAGTACAACTCCTCTTCCTCTTCTCAACATGGACTGCGTGTTCCCGGGGGCGGGGCTTATGTAAATTTTAGGGTTAGTGATGTCACTAAGCCGGAAGGAAGCTGGTGTAGTTCCTGGGGGCTTGTGTTCCCGGGGGCGGGGCCTATGTAAATTTTAAGGTTAGTGATGTCACTAAGCCGGGAGGAAGCTTGTGTAGTTTTACGAGCCATTTGTTGTAGTTCTTAAAAAAACAATTTCTTTAAAAGCAAATATCTCCCTTTGCTTTGAACTTTGAGCGTTGTAACTTTGCAGATGTTGGTTATGCTCAAACAGCGACATTACACACGAACTAAAGTTAGAAAAGTGAAATCACAATCAACCACCCCTTTAAAAAAATGTGCCTTTTAACCCTTGTGCTGCATTAGATTTTTAACACCGTTGAGTGCATTAAGGGCCAAAAATGGCCACATATTAAACATTGCCTAAAATATTATTTATTATTATTATTTTCCACTTTTACCAAGTTAAATCTTTTAACCAGCATCAGTCCTCATCATAACTACCAAAAATGTATTCAATTTCAGGATTTTAACACTTTAATTACCAGTTTTGGTGGCGAAACCATCGATTTTTGTATAAGAGGAAAAAACACAAAAATTCAATTATTTTCAGTAAACTAAATGCAAAGAGAAAACTTTAGATTTGGATTATTTGGATTAGATTTGGATTATTTGGATAATTTTGCCAAATTACATACCATTTGCATTAAAACAGCCAAAATGATCAAATAAATTAAACTGCAAAAGACCAAAAATGTCCCTAATGCAGCATAAGGGTTAACTGGGTCTTGAATGTTGCCATAGATGAGGTATTATGAGCTATTAATTATCCTCAGTAAAGGTCTTATAAAGTTCTAAGGTTCATGTGGAATAACATGGAGATTAGCTACTAAAATGTGAGCTTTTTCTCTACACAGAAATATCAACAGTGTGTTTTGGTTGGACACACCGCAGTCAAAGCTTCATCTGATTTCACTGAGTTTGACGAGTTTAGTGGTTCTGATCTACTGCTGGTAATTTGTCTGGCATTTGACTTGTGTTGGGCATATATAGTACCAGAGTTTGCAGTCTAGATTAATTCACAAAATAAGACACAAGTCCACAAGTTGTTCATTTGAATTAGTCTAAAGAATTTGGAAACCCAAATTATGCTTGCAAATTTGGCCAAGAATGTAGAAAACACTGTGTTGACTGTTTGTGACCATCGTCCGAGACTACCAGTTTTTCAGTGGATTCATGGTAGCAAACTAGACTGCCAAAATGCAATCAACCTTGTGTTTTTATAGCACTGTAATATGTTATTAAGCAGCTTTTCCGATGTAAGCTTCCCCTGATAGCACACGCTATTTACAGGTCTACTGACTTTGCAGATGTTTGTTGATTATCGTCTTGGTTTTAGAAAATAAGTCCCAGTCGGCTTTGGAATTAAAATATGAAAATTCAAATTTCCTTAATTATTGTCATCTTAAAGGAGTAGTTCACTTTTAAAAAAAACTTTTGCTGATAATTTACTCGCCCCCATGTCATCCAAGATGTCCACTTCTTTCTTTCTTCAGTCGAAAAAAAATTCAGGTTTTTGATGAAAACATTCCAGGATTTTCTCCATATAATGGACTTCTATGGCGACCAAACGGTTCAAGGTCCAAAAGACAGTTTCAGTGCAAACTGCAAACTGTTCAAAGGGCTTTAAACGACACCAGACGATGAATAAGGGTCTTATCAAGCGAAACGATCGCTCATTTAAAAAGAAAAATAACAAAGTTTACATTTTATAAGCTCAAATGGTCGCCTTGCTCTGTTCTGTGATGAGCGTTTGTGACTCTCCTGTTCGAACTCGTTTATCAAAATGAACAAATCTTTTTTCGTGCCATTTGGTTCATTCAACGAACGAAATAAACGAATTGACTCGGGAAAAGATTTGTTCATTTTCATGAACGAGTTCGAACAGGAAAGTCACGAACACGCATCAAAGAACAGAGCAAGGCGATCATTTGAGCTTATAAAATGTAAACTTTGTTATTTTTCTTTTTAAATGATCGATCGTTTCGCTTGAAAAGACCCTTATTAATCGCCTGGTGTCGTTTAAAGCCCTTTGAACAGTTTGCAGTTTGCACTGAAACTCTCATTTGGACCTTGAACCGTTTGGTTCCCATTGAAGTCCATTATATGGAGAAAATCCTGGAATGTTTTCATCAAAAACCTTAATTTCTTTTCGACTCAAGAAAGAAAGACGTGGACATCTTGGATGACATGGGGGTGAGTAAATTATCAGCAAAAGTTTTTTTTTTTTTTTTTAAGTGAACTACTCCTTTAATGCTTTACCAATGAAGGTCTGTGAGAGAGACATAGCTGTTTTTTTGCATATATCTCTGTTTACTTTATTCTTGATGGATTCTGTCTGACTTTGCACCATGACTTCATTTTATGAAGCTGAATTGTGGTAGCTCTTAGTTATTAGATGAGCTCAGTTTAGGGTTATTTGAAATTACACAGCCATTCATAAAACACTATTAAGACGGTCACATCCAATTGGGCAACTCATATTTCCCTCTGCGTTCAATTTGAAATTGTTACTGTCAGAGATCAGAACGGGATGTTAAACAAAACTAAATAAGACTTTACCAAGCCGGGGATGCGCAGATGTAGCATCAGAACTTGGAATTACAGTTAATGAGATCTTGAACTATATGAGAGCTTAAACTAAGCCTAATTAATTGATTCTTAATCTTAATATCCTAATTTCCCAAAGCTGTACATCTGGGTATATTCTGACAGTTCTAACAATATTCATATATGAATACTAACAATGGTGACCATGCTAAAATAAAGTTGGACATTGTTTGAAGCTTTTTAGAAGCATACTTGTTCTGCTGTAAATTTTATCAGTGTCATTGTCGAAAACCAAAGTAAAATTATGACAAAAATCACTTGTTTTTCAGATGCAGACACTTTTTGCCTTCGACGAAGAGGAAATGGAAATGAGAAACAAGGTGGTAGAGGATCTAAAGACAGCCCTCCGCACTCAGCCAATGAGGTAAGAGAACTGGGATTCTTGTCATTGTGCTAATTCATAATTCTGCTCGTCAGTCCGAGGAGTCAGGAGTAAATACCTCGAATTAAGAGAGCTGCTCTCAGCAGGAAGTTTTCCATGTGGCAACTAATTTAGGCCTGGATTATGTGGGATCCACGGATCAAGAAGCCTCAGGGTACCTGCCATCTGTGAGGATTGCAGTGGCCGTGAACTCGACTGCATCCCTACTATCGTCTGTGACTGTCTGGCGTGGGCGGATCGCGTCATTCATTCAGCTCAAACAGTCACTATGTTTCCATCCACCTATTTTTTATGCACATATTGGGATATTGCATTAAAAAAAAAATGCTAGATGGAAACATAAATTCTAAAAATGGCTTGTTTGAGTCAGATACATTTTTTTTATCCAATAACAAAACGTGTGCATAAACTATGATGAAAGCACATGACTATGATGTGTATCAAAAAATTCATGTGACTTTGCAAGATCGGAAGGAATAATTGGATTAACCAGCTTTTTTGAAATACTTTTTTGGTTGTTCTGAAATGAAAATAAGTGGTGTTACATGACAAACATACAAGAGTTTATTGCTCTGAAGTTAAAGCTAAATGAGTTTAATTTCATCTGCATGCTCTCAGGTGCAAATCACAAAAGGCTACACATTTAGCCGTTTAGCCCCATAGACTCCCATTCATTCTGCTCTCGCCCGTGATCACCCCCAGTGGAATTCTACTGGAACTGCAACCAAGATGATGCACAACGGGGCTAATAAAAAGTGCCAAGGCTCTCCGTTAGACGGGCTCTGGTGAGACTCAAGGCCGGTGTGTGTCTCACACACACAGGTGTCTCTCATTAGCATTCGGTCCCGCTCTGCTTCACACCACAGGGATGAACATTTGAGTTCTCTCAAGAGTCACCGCTCTCACATTACCTTATACCAGGGACCGTCTGGACTATGTATGTCTATATTTTGTGGTCATTTTTTATCAGTTCTGTTAGATGGTTATTTGGTTTTAAAAGTGATTTAACAAGTTTTTGTCCATAAATAGTTGTAATTCGTGAATTTATGACGAGAGCAGTGAGCCGTGTCTTGGATGTAATCCGCTAATGGTTGCTTTGAGGTCTTTTTTTTTTACCTCCTTAATGCCAGTGCAGGGATTACTTTAAATGAGCAGAAGGAAATTAAAATATTGAATATCCAATTTAGTGTAGTAAAATATGTCGGATACCTACAGTTCTTTAAAGAAAAGGTAAATTCACAAAACTTCCAGCTCAGCACATTCTTGCAAACATTTGGCTGTTGTGTTCTGACGGACCAAAGGGTTTACAAGTTTCCTTTCATACGTTCTGTGTGATCTTTATTTCAGTAATGCTATTTTTGCAGTTGCAGACTTATAATAATCAGTTATTGCTTTAAGAGTCATTTTAGACTATTAAAAAATCCAACCAGTGCCACAATTAGATGATGTAACATCCACAGCAGTCATACAGTAACTATAGCTATACTGCTTTTCAATGAAGAATAATTACAGCCTTTCTGAAAAAACAGATTTTTTTACAGAAATCTGATGTTCAGTAACTCACAGTAAAGAGAGTTGAATGCTGTCTTTGTCACAGGAAAGTTTCTGGACTACACTGTAAAGATTTGTTATCACAACATATTTTCTTTTGTCAAATCAACTTTATAATAATTTATTTAGTTGAGATAACTTATTATTTTGAGTTTCTGATGATTAAATTAATCTCCTTCATTGTATTAACTCACTTTTTTCAGTTCAATCAACTTAAAATTTTAAGGCAACCCAGGTTACTTACTTTTTTAAGTTAAACCAACAATATTTTTTTATAGTGTTAGTAATCACAACATTTTTTTCTTTTGTCAAATCAACTTAAATAATTTATTTAGTTCAGATAACATATAATTTTGAGTTTCTGATGATTAAATCATTCTCCTTCGTTGTATTAACTCACTTTTTCCAGTTCAATCAACTTAAAATTTTAAGGTACTTTTTTAAGTTAAACCATCAATATTTTTTTTACAGTGTATAGAAACTTTGCTGTGGTTTTAATAGTTAATAGTGAGAAATGGACCCTAATCTAAAGTGTGACCAAAAATTCGAACCCTGTTACAATAGAAATACATCAACACCGGGAAGAAAAAGACATGCGAGTGTCTGTGCTAATGCATGTTTACACTATTCCGGTTTAGCTTGTCTCAGTTTATCATTGATTAATGATCCAGCAGTGTTCCTCTATATACACTTGCTGTCTTTGACGGTTAGCCTACCGAGAACCACTCATTATTCTGTGCAAACAATTTGCCGCCGCTTGTTAACATTGGAAGCAGGAAAATGAATGTGCCATCGTGATGTTTGGGCTCTGACAGCGCAGTACTGTAAAGTATGATTAAGGCAATGGGTCTAGAATAGAGTTTAGAACGTCACCAACAATTAAGTCTTTGTAGCTGAAAATCAGCAAATTCTTTGATAAAGTCTATATAAGCCTGTATAAGCAAATTCTTGTATAAAGAACCATCACTTCAGAAGAATTATACTTGAAACCAAAGTCCCGAGAAATACCTTTCAGTCGAGGCTCATGTTTATAACGGGTCGGACTCATTTAAAGTAATGTAATCAATTGGCCCCAATTGGCCATCAAACCGTATTTACTTTATAGCCCTTAATCCTGTAATTGTGGACAAATGTGGGCACAGAGGACTCAGGTGTGATCCTAATTTATATATATTTTAAATGTTATATCACTGTCTTCGATAAAGTTTTGTCTATCCATTTATGGTGGTGTTTTTGAATTTATTTACTTCAAAAAGTACCATATTTTCTATTAGAGCCAGACCGATATATCGGCAGACCGATATTATTGGCCGATATTAGGCATTTTCCAAATTATCGGTATCAGCAGTTATAATGGCCGATAAATGAATATTTCAAAAATAAAATAAAAACAGACGAAACACGCTTGAACCATGTCATGAGTGTTGGAGTTGTATAGTTTGTCCACCAGAGGGCGCTCTACACCGTTCCCGTTGGCAACACTCGTTGCTTGAATAACAATTAAAAGAACATCCACATCAGTTCTATTAACTCAAATAAGCGGGACAAAATTAGTGACTAATCATCTCCAGTTTAAATAAATAAATAAAATATCGGCCGATATATATCGGAATATCGGATTTTAAAACCCCAAAATATTTCCATCGGTATCGGCCTTCAAAATCCTTTATCGGTCGGGCTCTATTTTCTATGTAAATTATGCTTATTTGTATGTTTTATTTTTTTATTTACTACTTAACTACATTAGAATATTATTCCAATAAGTTCTTAGAGCTAAAAGCTAAAGATGAAGTGACTTTGCTGTCTTATTTTGGCTTGCTCTAAATTACAGTTTTTCCCATTCATTTCTATGGGTGCCCATTTTTGACCCAAATACAAGATTAAGGAGTTTTTTCACCCACTTAACATTGTAGAATTGAGTAAAAAAAAATTGTGTGTGTTCAAAAGGCAAACTTAGGAAAAGTAGCCAAGTCTTGTACCGCTCAGATCAAGGGAAGTATTTTTTTAAAATTAAATCAAAACTATTTTGCCCACATTTGTCCAGAATACGGTATAGGGTTAAAATTTTAACCCAACTTCAACTTTCACTTTCAACTGTACATTTTAATTACCTTTTTAACCCAACATTTGGGTTTGTCCATATGTGTATATTTTGACACAGTGTAGTGGAAAACATCCACGTTTGGTAGAGCTGATCAATGGTATTAATGATTGGTTAATTATTGTGAATATCCCCAACTCAGCAATTTAAATATATCCCCAACACACAAATTCATGGACATGGACATCGAAAAGGTTAAATGGTCCTGAAAAAAGAGTCAAATTTAGTGTGTATGTGTATATGAAGAGTTCAGATGCAAAAGCCTCTAAGTGCCATTTGAAATTTTCTTCTAGAATGATCATTTTTATCAAGCTTGTATATTTAAGTTCAGTGATTTCACTTAAATTGCAATGATAATTACCTATTTTTTTACCTATAATTGTTATTTAAGTGAAATTACTGAACTGAAATATACAAGTTTGATAAAAAAATCATCATTAAAGAAGAAAATTTCAAATGGCATTTAGAGGCTTTTGCATCTGAACTCTTCATATATATATATATATATATATATATATATATGCATAAGCTGCATTTAAGACGTTAAATTTGGTTCTTAATGTTTTGATACCTCTTGGATACCATCTTCAAGATTCATGTGCTCCACCCTCTCTCTTCTTAGTCCACGTTCTGGAAGGGTGTGCAGATGACAAGCCTTTCTTAATTTGATATATTTAATATAAACTGTCTTCACACTGCTGGTCAACCCACACAAAACGTCACTCCGAAGCGAGTGAGGTTTCGCAACATCCTCCCGAGCAACCCGAGGCTCAGATCGGTACTTGTGTCAAGTCAGTGAGAGAGATGGAGGCAACATGTTTATTGACCTTCTGAATTGCCGAGGTAGTTTTTTTAAGGGGATGATTAAAATCTTTCAATTTGTTTCGACATGGAAAATATGATGCACTCTGAACGCTGCGATTCAGTTTAGGTCACTGGAAACTATGTCCATCTTTTGTTTAAGGAATGTTTCCCCGGGTGTTTGGACAAAGCTGCCCTGTTATTCTAAGGATGAATTGTCAATAGGGTCTTCAAAATACTGATATGATCTCAAAGAGGTCCAAATATATTGAACTCAACCTCTGTGTTTTCACATTTGTCAAATGCCTCCATGGAAATCATACCTCGAATCCTTTAAGCGTTTGGACGGGTTTGTGTTTTTCTCCCCAAGTGTAGTAGCTCGATCCAGAGAGTAAAGTGCAGGAGAGGTAGCTTCAGACATTGCTTGTGTTGGCCATGGCTTAATGGGACAATGTGCTACCCCACCTGTGCCCCCCACGCTCGGCTCGCAGTGTAATTTACACACTCCCAGCTGCTGGTAACTGATATG